CGTGGCTTAAACACTTTCTGCCTCAGCTCGGTTAAAAATGCCTGCTGTGCATTGTCACCGCAGGTCTCTTAGCTGGGGGCAGGGGTCGGGGGAAGGTGGGAAAATTTGAATCTGCCATTTGCTAAGGATTTTTAAAAATTTAACTATCTTCCAGTCAAGATGGCAGCATGGGCAAACATGGCCCGCCTCTTCACACAAACACATCAAGATTACAACCAAAATTATAGAACAACCATCACTTAGAACTGTCAGAAATCAAGTTGAAGGGAAGTCTGACAACTATAGAATTAAAGAAACCACATCCTTCTACTCTGGTAGGAGGGGCGCAGACACACCACTGGCTGGTCCCACATCCACACGTGATGGATAAAAATTCGGGAGGGATCTCTCAGGAGCTCAGAGTCCCAGCCTGACACCAGGCTCCCCAGTCCAGGGTTCCAGTGCCAGGAAAATAAGTCCCCACAACTTCTGGCTGCAAAACCTAGTGGGGATTGAGTCTGTGGCAGAAACTGCTGAAACTCCAAGCAGTTCCTCTTAAAGAACCCGCACATGGACTCACCTACTCGGACTCACTCCCTCTTGAGCTCTAGCACTAGGGTAGCAGTTTGAAAGGCACTAGTGACATACAGGGAGACTGAAGTATCTGGCATCAAGGTGAGCAGATACCATTGTCCATTTTCTAGACCCTCCCCTGACAGAGCCAGCAAGCCGATGTCATCCATATCTGAAACTGCACCAACATGGCTAACACTGTTTTATTCACCTTGGAAATCCATAGAGATTCTGCCCCACCCAACTTATGGGCTCACCCAAGCTGTTTTTCCATATGAATGGTCTTGGCTCCTGCTGCACAACTCCCCAAATCCTCTCAAATAAGCACCAGCTGCCCTCAGTGGACCCCAGGCCTGGCACTAGCACCAACAAGCTTAGAGTCACAGCATGGCTTCACCTGGGACTCTCCAAGCCCAGCACAAGCAGCAGCCATCTCAGATTGTTCTATAGCTCCGGCAGGGCGCCCCAGCAAAACACAGGTGGGGACTGACCTTGTCATGCACCACCTGGGAAACCCCAGGGCCAGCCCCCCCAGTGGACAGCTACAGACCACATCGGAGCACTATCACCCAGCTCCTGCACAGCTGATCCTCCACAGAGGGCAGAGGTTGGTGGTCAGTTGTCACAACAAGTCCTTGCAGCTGACTGGCCTGGGTAAATACCTCCCATTGATCTTCCAACAGCAACCAAGGCTCAACTTCAAGAGGAGGGTGTACTCAGTCCACATGCAGGGCGCACCTCAAGTGCGCAGCTTAAGTGATAGAGGAGGCTGTGCCATGGGACCGTGCAGGACACCTACTACATTAGACCACACTACCAAAACACAGTGTCAAAGCAGCTTCACCTAATACATAGAAACAAATGCAGGGAAGCTGCCAAAATGAAGAGACAAAGAAACATGGCCCAAATGAAAGAACAGGTCAAAAGTCCAGAAAAAGGAGCTGAATGAAATGGAGATAAGCAATCTATCAGATGCAGAGTTCAAAACACTGATTATAAGGATGCTCAAGGAGCTTAGTGAGGACCTCAACAGCATAAAAAAGATCCAGTCAGAAACGAAGGCTACACTAATTGAGATACAGAACAATTTACAGGGAAACGACAGTAGAGTGGATGAAGCCGAGAATCAAATCCATGATTTGGAACATAAGGAAGCAAAAAACAACTATGCAGAACAACAAGAAAAAAAAGACTAAAAAAAAAAATGAGGATAGTATAAGCAGCCTCTGGAATTTCAAGAGGTCTAACATTCACATCATAGGGGTGCCAGAAGGAGAAGAGGAAGAGCAAGAAATTAAAAATCTATTTCAAAAAATAGTGAAAGAAAACTTCTCTAATTTGGTGAAGGAAACAGACACGCAGGTCCAGGAAGCACAGAGAGTCCCAAGCTAAATGGATGCAAAGAGGCCTACTCCAAGACACATCATAATTAAAATGCCAAAGTTTAAAGATAATGAGAGAACCTTAAAAGCAGCAAGAGAAATGAAGTTAGTTATCTACAGGGGAGTTCCCATAAGTCTGTCAGCTGATTTCTCAAAAGAAACTTCAGGCTAGAACGGATTGGCAAGAAATATTCAAAGTCATGAAAAACAGGGACCTACAGCCAAGATTGCTCTACCCAGCAAAGCTCTCATTTATAATGAAGAGCAGATAAAGAGCTTCCCAGGGAAGAAAAATCTTAAGGAATTCATCATCGCCAAACCATTACTATATGAAATGTTAATGGACTTATTTAAGAAAAATAAGATCAAAACTATGCACAATAAAATGGCCAAAAATACATGTCTATCAACAAATGAATCCAAAAAGCAAACTAAGCAAACAAGAACAGAGACAGAATCATGGATACGGAGAGCATTTTGACGGTTGTCAGATGGGAGTGGGGTGGAGCAGAATGGTTTAAGAGGTGAGGGGATTAAGAAGTACAAATAAGTAGTTAAGGAATAGCCCTGGGGATGTAAAGTACAGTATAGGAAATGGAGCAGCTGAAGAACTTATACGCATGACCCATGGGCATGAACAGTGGTGGGGGCACTGCCTGAGGGAGTGGGGGTGCTGTGTAGAGGGGAGCAAAAGGGACGAATCAAGACAACTGTAATAGCACAATCAATAAAATATCATTTAAAAACATTTAACTTTATTTTTCAATAATTTAGACTTAGGGAAAAGGTTGTGAACACAGTAGAAAGAATTCCTTGATTGATTTCCCTAATGTCAACATTTTACCACATTTGCTTTATCGGTCTATGTGTATGTATGCCTTTTTTCCCCTAAACTGTTAGAGAGTCAGTTGCAACAATGATACCCTTTTGTTTCCTAAAAGCAAACACATTCTCTTATAAAAAAGAGTGCAATTATCAAAATCAATAAATTAATGTGAAACTATTATTTAATCTTTGGCTCTCACACTCTTATCAAAGTCAGGAAATAACCCACATATCTCTTCGGATTTCATCAACTGCCCTGCTAACATCCTCTATGTGCCAAAGGTCTCATAGATATCACCTTTTGCAACTCTCTCAACAATCTGGTGAGTTTGATATTACTATCCCTATTTTACCAATGAAGGAACTGAGGCTCAGAGAGGTTCAGTAACTTGCCAGGTCACATAAACTTTAAACAGCAGAGCTAGAATTTCAACTCAAGTGTGCCTGCCTCCAAAGCCCTTGTTCCTTAGTTCTGGACCAGGATCGCCGTGTTTAGAGAGGACTTCACAGTACAAGACAAGGGAGTCTGTGTTCCAGCCAAGAAAAGAACCTGTCAAAGGAATGCCAGTGATTATTTCTCAGTCTCCGAAGGAAATGTCCAGTGGAAAAGGAGAAGGGAAGGAGCAGATGGAATTGTAGCTATTTTGTTAAACAATGTATAAGTTTTTTTGGAGGGGATACAGTTATGGTTATTTTTTAACTTTTTAAAAGTAAAAGGTAACTTTTTAACTTATTTTAAAAACAGATACAGAAAGAGGCAGAACACAAATAAGTAACTTAATGAGTTTTGTTGTGGGTTATACCCTTGTAACCACCCTCCAGTTCAAGAAACAAAACTTCAGTTCCAGAGCTGGGGGTAGCCAGTGATCCTGGACTAATTAACACATACCGCAGAGCATTGATTTGTTTGCTCAAGTGTAAAACGAGATAATGCTACAGTCATATGCTGCATAATGACGTTTCGCCTAATAGTGGGCCAGTAGTGGTCCCACAAGATTGTAATGGAGCTGAATCATTCTTTCTGCCTCACGAGGTAGCATTGTAATATCACGTTTCTCACCTGTTTGTGATGTTACTGGTGTAAACAAACCTGCTGCACTGCCAGCCGCGTACAAGCGTAGGACATTTAGTTATGTCCAGCACACTACACTTGATTATGATAATAAACAGCTATGTCACTGGTTTATATATTTACTACACTATATCTTTTGTCATTGTTTTAGAGTGTACTCTTTTACTTATTTTAAAAAAGTATTTGCTGTAAAATAGTATGCCATGTTTATCACGTCTCTGGATTGCATTATTTTTTCTTGTGCTTGATTTATTCTCATGCTGTTTTGTAGGTAACCATGTAGCCCAGGAGCAATGGGCTGTACCATATAGCCTAGGTGTGTAGTAGCCTCCAGGTTTGTGTAAGTGATGTTTGTGCAATGACAGAAGTCACTTCACGTTGCATTTCTAAGACTGTGTCTTGTCCTTAAGGGACACGGGACTGTGTTTTATCCCCGTATGACAGATCTACCTTCATTGGCATGGCAGGGCTGTTGAGAAGCTCAAGTACAAAACTGAAAGACGAGAGGGGTTTCTCTTATCTGTCAAAACCAACAATGAAAAAAAAAATTCTACGGACCCTGATGCTTTGAAAGTTGGCATTTGTAATGTTTCACAGCTGAACCATAGCTCTAAATTTCTTGGTAACCTAAAGTTTGAGCGGTTCTCAAACTTCAGCAGGCACCAAACAACCCTGGGGAGGGGGGTGCAAAGATACTTCTGGGCCCCACCCTTTGAGTTTCTGATTGAGAGTTCTCGGGGTAAGGCCCTAGAATTTGCATTTCTAACAAGTTTCAGGTATAGGGTTGGTTCAGGGGCTGCAATTTGCAGACCCCTAGTTTTCCAGAGAATCCGGTATGCAGGGCTAAGATTCTATCAAGTCCACTTAGGTTTATCTGGTTTCAACTTCCCGCTTCTGTCCTCTGAGGCAGCCAGGGAGCAAGGAGGCCCATGTTGAAGTCCAACCCCCGGGCGCGTTATCAAGCTGCTGACAGCGGGGCCTCCTGATTGCCTTTGCAATGGTTCTGGCGGAGGCCGATAAGGAACCCGATAACGCTCTCCTGGAGTCACGAGGCCGCGCGTGGCCTCCAGGCTGGGCCGGCCCTTTCCCCGCCCTCAGGTCTGCTGTGGCGGGGCGGAGCCCGGGGCGGAGCAAGCTCCCGGGCAGCGGGCAGGACCCGCGAGGGGCGGTGCCAGGCCGCGGGTCCTCAGTCAAGTGACGCTGAGCGGCTGGCCGGGGCGCCGACTGCGATGGAGCGGAAGGGCTGGAGAGTGGATATGCCGGGGGTCGTTCGCATCCTCTCTCTGCTGCTGGTGTCCCTGCTGCTGGGCACTGCGCGCGGCTTGCGTGTAAGTCCACAGAGCCCCCGCGCGGGGACGCATCGTTAGGGGGGACAAGCTGGCGGAGGCCAAGGCTGTGGCTGCGGCCAACAGGGGTCCTGCAGGGCGCTGGGCCTGGGACTCGGGGGCGCAGCCCGGCAGCCGGGCAGCCTGCGGAGCGCAGGCAGTGGACTGGCCCTCCTGCCGGGGGCGGGCCGGGTAGGGCGCTCGTCCTTCCCGGTAGCCTGTCGCTTGTGTGTTCCGCTCCGGCCGCCGGTTCCGCTGGGACTTACGTCCTCAAAGGTGCCACGAGGGGGGTGAGGTGAGGTGAGGTGCACCCACACCCTTCCAGCTTTGCAGTTTTTCGGGAGGGGGAATTCCAGCCGGCGCGCATTATTGGAGGAAGCCTTGGGCTCTGGCTTGGGGCGCCCTCCCTTGCCCAGTGCGTGCTCTGCGGACCGCTCCGGAAAAAGGAAAATGGGGTCAGGGGAGGCCCCCGCAATGGCAACTTTGGGTTAATGTCCTCCGTGGAGTTCTCTTTTCAAACATCTTGCCTCTCCCCGCCGCTTCCTTTTATGGCTTGGGTTTTCCAGACCTTCAGGACGGTCCGGGCCGCGGGTGGCCGGGCGGCAGGTGGCAGCCGGAGCCGCTGGAGGGAGCCTGCAGCGGCGCGGCGGGGCGGGGTGGGGGCGCGCTTGGCGGGAGGGGAAGGACCGCAGGGAACTGAAACCGGCAGCTACCCCTCGGCCACGTTCAGCGAACCAACTTTGGTGCCTCCAGAGCCTGGGTGGGCTGAGGCTGGGGCACGTTTTAAGCAGAAGTGGTGAAATTTGGGCCGGTTGATTTGTAAAGCACACCCTCGCTTAGAAGCTTTAAACAGCTTACATTCAGATAAATGTGTAAGGGCAAAACCATACATTTATTTAAAGCGAGGTTAAGCATCTTAAGAATTTGGAAAACACCTGCTGAGAATATTTTTAATTTGAGGTTCCTCTTGGGGAACGCTCACCTCAAATAGAGTGTTTGCTAACCCCTGTGCACGGGGGCCTGTGGATCGTGTAGCCCAGATTTTTGACTAGGAGGGTTGGCGCGGCCCCCGGGCTCTAGCTGGCCCGCTGGGAGGACCGCGGGGAGCGGCGACAGAGACAGCCGGGCGCGGGTAAGACAGGTCTCGACGTTCAGGTGGCTGTGGGGAGGGAGAGACGCGGTGTGTGGCTGAGGAGCCGGTGGGCAGGGCAGTCCCCCTGGGCAATGGCTGCTCTTCATTGTGCAGCATCATTCGCCAGTGGGGTACCCTCCGACTGCCGTGCCAAGGCCCACCCAGGGAGGCCAGCTTCACCCCAGGAATTCCTTCCTGTCTAGTTTTCCTTCATGGGCCTCCAGCGGAGGGAAGCTACCAGCGAATGAGTTTTCTGTGATGTCCTTGTTGACGGGTACTTAGAACAGCGGTTCTCAAACTTTCACTGTCCTAGAACTTAAATTTTTAAATATTTATTAATTTATTTCAGAAATAATGAATCTAGTACATGTGAAGAAACTTATGGGGGTTTTTTTGGGGGGGCGGGCGGGTGGATAACAGTGTTTCTCCCCGAAATTTCGGGCAAAGTGTTGGTTTTCATGTTTGGAAATCTCATGTCTGTCTTAATAGATGACAGTCAGATCCTCCCAACTGCTTCTGCGTTTTGCGTTGCCATTGCATCTGTCACCTAGCCTCTGAAAAACTCCACTGCACACTCCTGAGAGAACGGGAAAGGAAAAGGCAGTTACGGCTTAGCATTCCTATGGAAGCAATTTTAACTAAATGGACCCCCTGAAGGTGTCTCCCCAGACCGCACTTTGAGAGCTGCTGATTTAGAATAACGTTTTTGTTCTCATAAAAGAAATTCCATGTGCATTGTGGAAAAACTTTAAATGTTCAGAAAACTGGAAAGAAGAAAATGAAAACTGCCCATTGTGTTAACAACCCAGTGTCGGTGTTGTTGAGAGTAGAATGTCGCCACTGACGCGCGGCCTGGATTCCAGGCAGGTGGGGCAGGTGTGAGTGGCCTTCAGGTTTTAAATGGGGACAAGAAAGCGCTAATATTCCACAAAGCTGATGCCGGTTCCTGGTTGCAGGCGGACCTGAGCTGGAACCCTCTCCTTGGCCATTGTCTTTTCTAAGGACCTCACCTTCCAGAGCCCAGCTGCACCGAACTGCCAGGGGACCCTCTTAGGAGCAGACGCAATGGTGATCTTCAGGCAGCTGCCCCTGGGCGTGAAGGCTGCCCTGGCCGCCGGCACTGTGTTCGTGTCCATGATAATCTCGCGCTCCTATCTGTCTGAGAGCCTTGAGCTGGGAGCCTGGCGTTGGCTGTTCCACCTGCAGCTCGCCCTGTTTGTCAACTCGCTCATGCTCATTGGCTCCGTCTACATCTGGCGTAGCACAGTCGGCAACCTGAGCCATTCCCCAGCCTCGGAGTCGGCCTGTTTTCAGCTTTGGAAGGTGGCTGTTGTGACGTTTCTGGCCCTGGCCCATTCCAGTTTCTTCACCATGATCTTTTTAGTGGCCGAGGAGCCCTACCTCTTCTCCCTGGCTGCCTACTCCTGCCTCGGGGCCTACGTCATCATGCTCTTCTTCCTCTGCACCCTCAGCGGCATGGAGCAGGCCTACCAGCTCTTGGCCTGGCGCAGTGGGCGGGTCGTGGGCAGCCTTGACAAGACGAGGAAGCTGGCCCTCCGGCCGGCCCTGGCGGTGGTGGTGACCGCTGTGCTCAGCATAGCCGGGCTTCTGAACGCCGCCCAGCCCCCGCTGGTAAAAACCGTGGCGGTGCCCATTCATCAGCTGCCCCCCTCCATGGACAACCTCAAGATTGTGCTCCTCTCAGACATTCACTTGGGCCCCACCGTGGGCAGGACCAAAATGGAGATGTTTGTAGGGATGGTGAACAAGCTGGAACCGGATGTCACGGTGATCGTGGGTGACCTCTTCGATTCAGAAGCCTCCATCCTCCGGACCGCCGTCGCTCCTTTGGGCCAGCTTCATTCACGCCTCGGTACCTACTTTGTCACAGGGAATCACGAATACTACACCTCAGACGTCAGCAACTGGTTCGCACTGCTGGAGTCCCTGAATGTCAAGCCCCTTCACAATGAGAACGTGAGGATTTCCGCCACAGGGGCCCAGCGTGCTGGCGGTGAGGGTGACGACTGGATCTGCTTGGCTGGGGTGGATGACATTGAAGCGGATATCCTGCACTACTCTGGCCACGGCATGGATCTCGAGAAGGCGCTAGGGGGCTGCCGCCCAGACCACGCTACCATCTTGCTAGCTCACCAGCCCCTGGCTGCCAAGAGAGCCCTTCAGACTCGGCCAGATATTAACCTGATCCTTTCTGGGCACACGCATGCTGGGCAAATCTTCCCCTTGAATGTGGCGGCCTATCTCCTGAACCCCTTCTTTGCTGGTCTCTACCAAGTGGCCCAAACCACATTTGTGTATGTCAGCCCAGGCACGGCCTACTACGGGATCCCCATGAGATTGGGTAGCAAGGCAGAGATTACAGAGCTCATCCTGCAGCGGGCTCTCTGAACCGGGCCCTGCCCCGAGGCCTCTTCATCGCCCTTGCCCTCCATCCTCCGTCCCTCTTCAGAGCAGGTTGCCTGTGTTACGCCCTCCCGCCTCGCCTGCCCAGCCCCACCCACACATGCTTGTCACAAGCCTCTCCTGAGCACTGATTTGTGATGGGGCTGCCTGGCAGGTTAACTCTGTAGATGACCAGTTGCGTTTTGATATGCATCTGTGAGGCCACTAAAGTCACATGCGTACGAACAGGCACCTGTTTTCCAGATGACGTGGAGTAAACCCTCCCTCTTTGCAGAGCTAGGAATACACCGAAACGTGGGGTTGCGAGGAAGGGATACCTCTAGAAAGCAGAGTAGGGGAGGAGCTCTGAGTGCTTTTTAAACCCTCTGTAGGACTGAGGCAGTTTCCAGGATCACTGATGTCGAGCTTTCTGGGCAAGAGGTATGTTGCTAGGTGATCTGGGAGAGCAGGCAAGACAGAGGCCCCTCTGGCTGCTGAAGACAAAGAATTTCTTTCCCCCCTTGGTTCTGTTGAGGGAATCGGCAAAGCCTGCTGGAACACAGAGCTCATCCTATTCCAGACCCTGAGTGATGCTGTTTTACTGCCTGTGCTCCTGGGCTTTGGGGATTGGGAGTGGGGTGGGAAGAAACAGCACCGTGGTAGGTGATGGTCATAGTGCCGCATGGGAATTCAGAGAGTGTCTGCCTCCTTCTATACAATAATTGGATGAGGTGATTAAGAACAGGCTACTTTTCCCTGTCTGGAGATGAGGAAACTGGGGCAAAGAGCTGTTTTCAGGGCATTAGTGACATGACACGTCATGTAGGAGATTCTGGGCTAGAAGTCACAGCTTCTGTTTCCCAAGAAAAGTGTTCTTTCCACTGTCTGGTGGCCAGTAGCTGTATCTGATTCCAAAAGTTACCAGATTTAAGAGAACAAAAAAAGGGCCTAGACCCTGCTGTTCTTTCAAAGTGGTTTGCTTGAGGCTGATTTCTGTGCACCTGTAACTACATGGGCCAGGGCCTGGAGGGGAGTGAGCTGGTTTCCCTGTGGGGGTCTGTTAACACTGGAGGAAGAGTTGGAGCCCTGGAGCCCCTCCCTCACTCTCTACGGGGGAGGGGGGTGTGGCGGGGGACGTGGGGGACAGTGGGAGAGGGGCGCTGCATGGGAGTGGCAGGCCTCTGTCCTCTGGCAGTGCCTCTTGGTCTTGCCTCCCGCTGGGCCCTGGCTGTGGAGTGCAGGACCCTCCTTCCTGCTGGACGGCTTCCAGCCCCCTGGCCTGACCTTATCAGAGCTGCCTTAGGGCTCTGGCCGCAGAATCATACAGCCGTCTCTGCTGGCCACTGGACCCATAAAATCTGGGCAGATGTTGCTGTGTCTGGAGTGACCTCACCTCTGTTGGTCCGGCCCTTGTGCCAGACTCAAGAGACCCTTTGGTCCTGGGGTAGCAATAAGCAGTCCTGTTAGGAAAGACCTCTCTGAGAAGACCTGGCTCAGCGTTGACGTTTTTGTGACTGGCAGTCTTTCTCTGACAGGGAACACAGACACCACGCTGTCGAGAAGTCACCCGGCTGCTCACTGGCCAGGCACTGTTGGGCAAATGACTTGACCTCACTGAGCCTCGGTCTCCCTCACCCTAAAAGGGAGATGTTACCATGTCTACCTCAACACTGTTTCGTGGGGGAGGGCACCAGGACATGGCGCATGAGTTGCACGTGGCACAGTCACAGTGGAAGCACTCAGTGTTGCTGCGTTGTAAACATCACATGGGGGCTCGCTACGGAACTGTGTTGGGCACAAGTGCCCAGGAATTTATAGAGCAGACAATCTGGAGCATGTGAGTGGGTCTCATGCCTCCTGCTGCCGGGCCCAGCGATTTGCTGGGGGGTTGCTTCCCTCTGCCTGTGTTAAGTCTCCTGTGCATGCGCTGCCTGGTGCATAATGGAATCCCAGGGGACCCTGAAGGCCACCTTGTTATGTCCAAAGTGTTGACAGCGGGCCTCCCAGTCCAGTGTGACCGATTCCTCTCTGTTAGGCACAGAACAGGTCCACCTTAAGTGTCCAGGGAATAGTCAGCAACACCTCCTCAGACTTGGCTTGTGTCCCATGACGTGGTGGGAGTTTCCCAGCAGAAACTTCTCCATTATGGCCCAGATGCGGCCCTGAAGGGCCACGCTCTTCACGGCACTCTCTGCACCTCTGTTCTTCACGCATTTACCTTCGTTTATGGCTGGAAGAGGTGGTGAGAAATATGTACTTGGAGCTTGAAAATTATTTCAGTTTCATTTAAGTTTCTTTAAAAAAATCTGTCAATGCAAGTGAAATCGAAATGCTTTTAAAAAATTAACAATGGCGTGTATAGTGTGATCCTGTTACTGTAAAATTTCAGCACATGAATCCCACTGTCTTCCATTCCAAACATCCATCCATGTTTTTTCCCTTTATTTTGTTTGTTTTGTTTGAAACTTTTTATTGAGAAAATTTTAAAAAATAATTCACAAAATGGAACAGCATCCTGAATCCCCACGTGCCAACACCCAGCTTCGATAGTTGTGAACATTCTGCTGTTCTCTGTCACTTGCCCCTGCCCCACACTCTTTTTTGGCTGGACTCTGTTAAGGCAAATCTTAGAAAATATGTAACCCCGAAATACTTCACTATGAATTTGTCCTAGGAAAGCATATACATAATGGTGTTATATCCAATGAAATTAATAGTCATTCTTTAATATCCTCTAATGTCTAGTCAGGGGGTTTGGGGGCTAGAAGCCAGGCCTTTTACCTCTCAATAAAAGTGTTTTTTCCACTGTCTGAGGATTAAGTAAGTGTATCTGTTGCAGGTGACTAACAGGATTCAAGTGCAATTTACTGTCTGAAGAGTTAGTATTCAGTTTTCCCTGATTATCTCAGTTGTCTTTGTTGTTTTTTTTTTTACTGTGTTAAAAAAAGCACATAGCGTAAAAAATTTATCATCTTAGTGACTTGTAAGTGTATAGTTCAGTCGCTTCACAATGTTGTGACACAGACCTCCAGAGCTTTTTTTGTCTTGCCAGTCTGACCCCACTCTGCACCCACTAAACAATAGCTCTTCCTTTCCCCTTCCCTCAACCCCTAATCACCACCATTTTACATTCTGTTTCCATGAATTTGACTCCTATGCGTACCTTACTGAAGCGGAATCACACATTGCTATTTTTGTGATGGCTTATTTCCCTGAGCATAATGTCCTCAGTATTCATCCATGTTGTCGTATGTGACAAGACTTCCTTTCTAAGGCTGAATAATACTTTGTTGTATGTATATATCACATTTTGTTTATTCACTTGTCCATCAGTGGGCATTTGGGTTGCTTCCACCTTTTTTTGTTTGTTTATTTATTGTGAATTGTGCTGCTATGAACATGGGAGTGGAAGTATCTCTTCAAGACACTGCTTTCTATTCTTTAGAATACATACCCAGCAGTCAGTTTTTTGAGGAACCGCCATACTGTTTTCCACAGTAGCTGAACCATTTTTGTATCTTACCAATAGTGCACAAGGGTTCTCGTTTCTCTGAGTTTTCACCAGAACTTGTTATCGTTTGTTTTTTGTTCGTAGTGTGAAGTTATAACTTACTGTGATTTGGATTTGTGGTCCTCTGATGATCAGTAATGTTGAGCATCTTTTCATATACTTCTTGGTCATTCATATGTCATCTTTGGAGAAATGTCTATTCAGATCTTTCCCCCTTTTTAAAAATCAGGTTATTTGACTTTTTGTGGTTGTAAGAGTTCTTTTTTATATTCAGTATATTAACCCCTGAGCAGATACATGATTTGCAGATATTTTCATCCTACTGCCCTTAATGGGCAGAAGTTTTTAAGGATGTCCTGTTTGTCTATTTTTTGCTTTTCCTGCCTCTGTTTTTGGTGTCATATTCAAGAAATCATTGCCAAGTCCAATATCATGAAGCTTATGATCCATTTTGAGTTAATTTTTATATATAATGTAAGGTAAGGGCCCAACTTCATTCTTCTGCATGTGAATATCTAGTTTTCCCAACCTCATTTGTTGAAGAGACTATTCTTTTGCCATTGAATGGTCTTGGCACCCTTATGCATATATGTGAGGGTTTATCTGTGGCCTTTAAAAAAACATTCTATTTATTTACTTTTAGAAAAGGAAGGAGAGGAAGAGAAACACTAATGTGTGGTTGTTTCTTGTGCATCCCCGACTGGAGACCCAGGCCACAACCCAGGCATGTGCCCTGACTGGGAATCGAACTGGCAACCCTTTGGTTCACAGGCCAGCACTCAATCCACTGAGTCACACCAGCCAGGGCTATTTATGGCTGTTTTATTCTATTCCATTGGTCTATTTGTCTTTATGCCAGTACCACAGTGTCAGTTTTATAATATATTTTGAAATAAGGAAGTGTGAGTTTTCCAACTTTGTTCTTTAAAAAATTGTTTAAGCTATTTTGGGTTCCTTAAAATTCCCTATGAATTATAGGATGAATTTTTTTATTCATGCAAAAAATGCCATTGGGATTTTGAAAGAGGTTGCACGAATCTGTAAATCACATTGGGTATTATGGGCATTTTAACAAAACTTGAGTCTCCCAATTCGTAAACATTGATTGTCTTTCCATTTATCTGTGTCGTCTTTGATTTCTTTCTTTCAACAATGTCTTGTAGTTCTTGGTGTAGAAGCCTTTTATCTCTTTGTATAGGTTTATTCCTAAGTATTTTATTCTTTTTGATGCTGTTATAAATGGAATAGTCGTCTTAATTTCCTTTACAGATTGTTCTTTGTCAACGTATAGAAACACAGCTAATTTTTGTATGTTGACTTTATATCCTCCAACTTTGCTGAATTCATTTATTATTCTAATAATTGCTTTTTTGGTGTGTAGAATTTTTAAGATCTTCTACATATAATATCATGTCATCTGTGAACAATGTTACTTTTTCCTTTCCAATTGAATGCCTTTTCTTTTCTTTTCTTGCCTAATTGCTCTGGCTTAGACTTCCAATACTGTGCTGAATAGAAATGGTGATGGCAAACTTCCTTGCCTTGTTCTTGATCATAGAAGAAAAGCCTCAGACTTTCAGCACTGAGTACGATGTTAGCTGTGGGCTTTCATTGAATGGCCTTTATTATGTTGCTGTAACTTCCTTCTATTCCTAGTTTGCTGTTCTATTATGAAAAGGTGTTGGATTCTGGCAAATCTCTTTCTGCCTCAGTTGAGATCATCATGTGGGTTTTGTTGTTGATTGTGCTAATATGGTGTATTACAGTGATTGAGTTTCATAGGTTGAACCATTCTTGCATTCTTGGAATAGATCTCACTTGGTCGTGGTGTATAATCCTTTTAATGTGTTGTTGAATTCATTTTGCTGGTATTTTATTGAGGATTTTTGCATCACTTATTATCAGAGTATTGGCCTGTACTTTTCTCGTTATGTCTTGTCAGGCTTTGGTATTAGGGTAATTTCGGCCTCATAGAATGAACTTAGAAGTGTTTTCTACTCTTCAGTTTTTTGGAAGAGTTTCAGGAGGATTGGTGTTAATTCTCCTTTAGATATTTGATAGAATTCTTTAACAAAGCCACCTGGTCCTGGGTTTTTCTTTGAGGATTTGCACCTACTGATTCAATGTTCTTACTGGTTATTGGTTTGTTCAGATTTTGTCTTTCTTCATGATTCAGTCTTGGTAGATTATGTGTTTCCAGGAATTTAACTAATGTCTTCAGGGTTGTCCAATTTGTTGGCATGCAATTGTTCATAGTATACTCTTACACTCCTATTTAGTTCTGTCATATCTGTTGTAATGTTTCCTCTTTCATTTCTAATTTTAATTGAGTGTTCTTTTATCCTTAGTTAATCTAGCTAAAGAATTGTCAATTTTGTTGATCTTAAAAAAAAAATCTCTTAGTTTCATTGATTTTTTTTTCTATTTTTCTGTTCTCTGTTTTATTGATCTCTGCTCTAATCTTTATTATTTCCTTCCTTCCACTGTTCTTGGGTATAGGTTCTCCCATGGTTTCTTGAGGAATTATATCTCTTTGCAGTTTTTTTGTTTGAATC